ATAATTCAATCTATTACTAATGGGATAAAAAAAAGGTATTTTATTTGTTTCGAGCCATCAGTTTTGATAGTACCTGAAATTTTTCACTCTTTGGTTGTACCTGTAGTTGCAGGAAAATAAGCACCAAATGGGCGACTCATGACCATTATGAAAGTGAACATGATGATGCAAGAGAGCACCAGCCCACGCAGCCCCTATCAACATTTTTTGATTCGATTAATGCATACACTAAAAATAAGTACACTTGCAGCATCAATTCAGCGCACGACGTGTTGTACTTCAGCATGTCACATGCCCTGGGATACCATCACTTGAGGGGTAAAATGCTTCTGTAAGTTTGACATAAACGTCTTATGCTGGAACGTGACCTCGCGATAGCAGAAAAATGTCAGGGCAAATGGGCACTGATACGTAATGTTCTTAACACATCTGGTGTTTTCGCCCAGCGGCTCAAACCGGAATTCACCTTCCGCAGACACTGGAACAAGAACGGGAAGTTTATACATGCTTACAGCAGACAGATTTTGAATTCTTACTATCAAGCTTACTGCTACGGGGTATGTAAGAACTGTTAGGCTGTTCCGTAAAACTAAAGGAAGACCAACGCGCGCAAAACGAAGCACGGGAAGTGTCAAAGGTCACACACACTGAATCCATACAGGCCAGTGCCTTATCCAGTGTTCTGAGATATCAAGATATGACAAGCTGTTCCTAAGAAAATTTACAAAGTCTGATCTGAGCTTAACGTGAATCCGCCATCAATAACTCTCGGTGTAGACTCTGAATGAGGAGGGCAAGGCCCTACAAAAGGGCTGTAGTGCCACAGAGTAGTATTAGACTCTCAATACTAAATGTTAGTGACATCTGTGTGGCAGTTTTGGAAATGTACAGACAAACATGAGGCCACCATCTTGCGTAAAGAACGTGCAACTGTTTTACCATCACGATACATACTGCAGAGTAGTCTAGTGAAAAAGCAGATAATGTGGGTCGACTCAATGGTGTAGACTCCCCCAGCACCAGGTCTCACACTGAAGTGGCCATCAGCAAAGTTGCGAACGAACGGCAGTGACGAGAGAAATTCCGTGTACTGCGCAGTGTAATGCCAGTGATCAAAGTTGCCACCCTCTGACAGCACGTTGAAGTCGATGCTATAAACAGAACATCAGATCATGAGCAGGATTCTGTGGTCTTCCTCATGTCCAGGCAATTACCAGGATAAAATTGCAAAACAGATCATTCCTGCCTTGTTCCAAATCTTTATATTCATTCAAAATTCATGATTATCTGATGTCAGATGAACCTCTACATATGCAATGTTATGAAATAACCTAAGAATGGATCAATCATCAAATCATCATTAAGAATTAGGTTGCATGCCTATTCCGGCTCCAAAAAATTCAAGTGTGTAATTTGGTGTTTAAGGTACATGAATTGCGCTGCACCACACGAAATGCATGTTTTGTGTGACAGTCATGATTGGCAGATGTTTGTTTGCAAATAAGGAATCGTGGTAGCGCAGTCATTACAGTGACTATGGACCATACATGACTAGGGTTCAATCCCTGGCAGAGACAAAGGATTTTTCTTCTTGCCTCCTATCCAAAGGGTACTGGGGGTCCCTTCCTCAGGGCATGAACTTGACCTCTCACCCCGATCTAGCATCCATGCGAAGAACAAGCAGGACTTACATCTCCTCTCCCCCCCGTAGCGCCTTCATGGCATGTACCGATGACAGGTTTATTTATTAATTTGCTTTTGCTCTTTAAAATATCATGTTATACAAATAAAACATAAAAAATATTCTTTAGTGGCTCCATATTTGGTTGAAGTATTTTTGGAACTACTTAATATTGCTGAAAATGTTTGTCCATTTTGGTTAACATATTCTTCCCTTATTAAACATGCAAGAAAACAGAGCTACTTTAATTCACCAAATGCAGCCTCGGATTTGGACCGATCTGCGGGCTCGGGACATGCGCCCCTGGGTCTCATAAGAGGCATCGAGTCGGCTTCAGACATAAAGCCCATCGTGGTTCCAGAACTGAATGCACCTAATCCTAGTAAAGTACAATTAAAACTCCGCTTACAGGGTGGGATTGAGTTTCTTGTGGTTGCTGAAGTCTGCCACAAACTCCCAAATGTCAATTGGCTTTGAATTTGCTATTACAGCTTCGAAGACGACCTTCTGTGTCTGCAGTCTTAAGGTCAGATACAGGACCACACCCAGCAGGCACACACACAGAATTCTTTTCTTGAACCATCTTCTTTGCATAATGCCTGGAAACAACCGCTCTCACGTTAATACAGCTCTCTCAGAACCGTGCAGGTCGTGGGCTTTAAGCACAGATGAAATTAAAGTTTTGGTCAGGAACAACTCTAAAACATGCCAGTCACATGTGTTAGTGGCCTTTATATCCACTTATTGCAGGCACAAGCAACGGAGGGTCACGACCTATTTGCACTTGTATGACAGCGCAAATAACCTCAAAAGCTTTAAATTTTGATATGTGTACTTTCAAGTCATGTAAAGTCTTCTTGCCATTGTTTGGATACAAAGAGAAATTTGATATGAACAACAGTAACCATTAAGCACATTACAGATCAGGAAAGTTGTGTTTAATTGTAGGTTAATGCATGAAGGGATTACAGATTCTACCTGGAATGTACTTAATATAAAATTAACATTTTAAGATCAGCTGTCCAGAGTATCTTAACTGTTGGGTCTTTAACTGTGTCACGCCCATCTCCTGTATCTGCTGTAATTGTCAAGTGTACGGTCCCTGCCCTGGGCAAGTTACTGGGCTTTTACAGAATATAAAAGTTGATGTGCATATCAACAAATACGAGTATTAAATCCGAAATTTGGAAAACAAACATGAAATGAATGTGTTTTACTTGTGTTATGCATGCACAAAATAATGTATAATTTTGGTTTGTGTATATATCCAGGTGGCTTACATGACAGCCGGGTGTAGTAGAGTAGATCAGTGAAGCTGTCTTTGTTGACAAAGATATATATTTTGCACCATGACTATACACTACCCCAAAACATAACCTAACATTAGTATATGAAGTTCATATTTGTGTGATGGAATTAATGTGATTTCATAAAAAGTCAGCTGCTTTTAACTCTCGTTTGCTGCCTCAACATTTGGCATTATTTGTGTGTTGCTACTAATCAAAAACTTGTTCACCAAATCATGCATGCAAGAGCGGCACAAGTCTGGCTTCGTGCTCAATAAATCTGACCGGAACGTACAAAAAACCACTTTATGGTAGAGTAAGTTTTTAGGAACACAACACGATCTTCGTTTCTCCACTGCATCGGTGGACGTACGGCCGTGTTTTACGATCATCAGTAAACAAAATTGTTAGGTTATGTTAGTTTACAGCACGTTCGTGGTTTCGTAATTCTCACGGGCGTACGTCATGCGATGTGGTGGGAAGTCAGCACCATTCTACACTTTTACCACAATTAACGCACTTATTGGAAGGTCTGCAATCTGTCGATGTGTGTGTATAGTCACGCCCCTCAGACGCCGAACTGCTCGCTGCGTTCGAGATTAACTAAGACTCGCTGACTTTACATCGTGTAGCAGAGAACAGAGTCGATGCTCGAATCTGAAATTTAAAAAAGAACACGTCATTGGTGAGTCGTTCTGCATAATTTAATTTGCATTGTATAGCCGATGCTTTTGTTACTTTGCCTTTCGTACAGTCCCAACAGAAATGTGCAAAAATAAAAAAACAAGTAAACACACAGACTTCATCAGTTGATGTAGAACCCGCGAAGTGAATAATTCCATTTTTTGTTCAGATTCATTCGTTAGTGGAGCTGTCAGGTTCGACACGATATTTTCACTGAACATTTCGTGGTTTTCCTCAGTTCTTCCAGACAAATGCTGAGCTGCATATTGAAATAGGCCACTACCGCTTAATTCCACATACTTTTAGATTACGCATTTGCAAATCACCCTGTCGTTTGACGCTACATAACCGGTGCGATTGAGAAAGTGTCGTTAAATAGAAAGCCAATCAATGTTTTAAGCATATTCAGCGTAATTAGCTTGTTAGTAGCTATAATGTTGACATTCGCAGTTGAACTTTGAGCTGTTATTAGCGAATTTAGGATTTTTAAAATTTCTTGAACTCTGGGTACAGGAGAGACTGCAGTTTGAAGCCAATTAATGACGCGAGAGGCGAAGTGGAAATGTGACGAAAATGAATAGGAGATGTGGCAGGATCAGGACAGAGAGTCCGAGGAGTCGGAAGTCTGAAACAGCTGGCTCAAGGAAACATTCTCTCTCTCTCCCTCTCTCTCCCCCCATCCCTCCGGCCAGAACAAGGGATTGCTGTCAGAAACATCACGTGCGTTGCAAACACGTCGTTTGATGAAGGTGGCTGTCTTCTGGGCTATTGCGCCGTATAGTCTGGTGCAAGATAGCCGACGTTTCGGAGGTGCTTACTGCCTCCATCATCAACGATCACTTGGCTAACATTAGGCTGATAAAAAAACTTGCTGTCAGTCAGTGATAGTACAACTCTGACCCTGGGGTAACAGGCTCGAACCCCACCCCCCGATGTATGGGCTGCCCTGTGGCCTCTCGGTTGTTTCAGAGTTAATTCTGAACGATGGCAGGTAGGCGTGGCTTGGTCTGTGAACGCCGAACACCGAGGGAAAAATCTGTGAAGCTGGTGTTTCAAAACCCGTTTGTCTCTCTTAATTCCGACTCTGTTATCATAGAAGAACCCCCCGAGAACACGTCACTTTAACTGCTCGTGTTCAATTAACCGTGGCCAGTCCTACGTACATAATTTACATCGCAACAGAAACACTCTTGAGATTGAATTTCACGCCTGTGTTTGTTACAGGCGTTTCATTTCAGGGAGTACAATTAAAGTGTAATAGAATTCCTTACCCCTTTTATGCAGGACGTCGTGTGCATGCGCGTAGAGGACGCCGGCTCCCCCATCCCCGCCCATCCTTTCGAACAGCCCCGGTCGGACGCCCGCCCGCCCGCACAGTTCGCCGTGGTCGCTCTTACGTTCACGACGTCCCCGGCAGTTGGGCTTCTTCTGAAATTTTCCCGCCCGCCCGAACATTATGCTGTGTGCCGCAAAGTTTCACGTGCAGAAATCAGCAAATCGTCTCGTCTGAACCGTCTGTCGCATTGACAATTTGAGTTTGCGCCAAAGATAAATTTGGGACATGGGGTTTAGAGTTATCATATTTTTCGTAACTGTTGGAGCATGCGTTGGTTGTATACAGTTGCTGGAGGGCTGGAAAGAAGTGACTATCGAGGAGCGCGCCAGAAGATCTCAGGTCGTGTTTCATGGGTTGGCCATCACCACGTTCCCCGATTCGAATCCCGTCACATACACGGCCCAGTTCTGGATCATTAACGTGTACAAGGGAGCGGAGACTCTGTCACAGTTCCTCGAGTTGGACCCCGGCAACGGGGGAGTGTACAACCTACGCGATCGGTAAGCGCCTCCTTCAGATTGTATGTTGTGGTTGTTCTCATGGGCCAGAGCGACAGGTGACTGGTTTGCGCCCTTTGAAGCCGAAGCTCGTCTAAGCAACATTTAAGAATCCGGTCCGTACCGCGAAGAAAACACAACACTTCACCATTACAAAGATCAACTGGTTAACCTTGTTTAAGGAAATAATACGACTAAAACGCTAATTAACCTTTGGAGCCGAAGCTCTTTCAAATGAAACTTAAGAATTCAGTCCGTACCGCGAAGAAAACACTACACTTCACCATTACAAAGATCAATTGGTTAACGCTGTTTAAGGAAATAATCGCTTTTTATTCTGAGATTCATACGAAACCCGTAAATACAAACTGCAGAGTTACTCACTTTTGAACTAGGTGGTTCATATACTTACCGCTGTGCTTTAAAGGGTTAAGGCAGACTTGCGCAGTATCTCTATGACGTAAGGAAGGTTTAATTAGGGAGTCTGTACAGCACGTGTTTCACCGAAAAGACAAGAGCGCAGAAGGAATTAGTTCTGTAACGCACCGTTTTGGGAGTTTGGCACTAAAAGCTTCTGTTTAGAGGCAGAGTGGGCAATATAATCCACAGGGGTCATCGTCAGCTCCAGGGGGCTCTTCTGCGTAACTGTAACTTTACCAGGCTCGATATCCAGAAATGAGGCAATGAAACGATTTCTGATGTTCGGTACGGATTGCGAATGAATCTCGATATCTGAAATTTACATTTCGTGTGAGACGAAGTTAGTGAGAGAATATCTCGCGACAGACATCACAATTTCACAACTCGCGACTTTCGCCAACCTTTATCAGACTTGTTAAATCAGGCTATATGTATAGTGATGATAGCTTCTGGAATATTCGCTCTCCCCTACGAGGCGAGTTGATTTTGCCGAAATTTGCGTAGCAGAAACTCGCGTTATAATTCTTTTACTTTTAGTGAAAATTGCAAACATTACGTGGCTATCACTCAACCTTATTTGTAGCAACAACAACAATAATAATAATAATAATAATAATAATAATGACTATAACTCAGGTCTTGTCCTATCGCAGATACGTTTAGACACTTGACGTTTGTCGTAACTTCTGAGCTACGGTGAGGTCACCCGCTCGGAGATATTATTCGTAATTTTTTTTGGCTTGAGTAAGCTGCTGGGTCTCCCTGTACATGGACGTAATTTCATGCTGGATTCACCCGGAAATCCAGTGCCTGGGATTTATTCACAACATGAGACAGAGAAGCCCGCCCCAGTGGCTCTCGGGTCGAGTTTCTCCGGGGATTTAGTGCCACAGCTGGGGCGGGTCTTTGTGGTAATTACACAGGGAAATAGAGGGAAAATATCTGAAAACTTCCCTACAGAGCGTCGAGTGTTTCTGTTATACATTTCTCTAGCTAACATCAACATCTGATTTGTTTTTCCGAAGCTTTTGAACTCCGTCTTACCGGGGTAATGGCCGCCGTCAGTAAAGGGGAGAACCATTCTAAAGCTTCATGTGAAAATAACACGCAAGTTACCAGCGACTCGTCTTCCTTTCCCAAGATAAATGCCTACAAAATTTTAGCTGGAAATTCCGAAGGCGTGAAGCTACTTGGAAGAATTGGACGACGATATCAAAGTTAATCGTATGGGATGAGGGTGGCGTGGCGTGGCTCAGGACGTGTTCTGATCTCTGGTGCAATGATTTTCCCACTGGGTCAGGCCAACTGGTCTGCGGGTCTTAACCAACATTTTACATCTGTGATTCTTCCTAGCACAAACATCATTAATGCCGCGAATCTCAACCAGTGTTTTCATTTAATTTGAAAGCTTAAATTATATTTGCACTGGCTCTGCAAGCACGAAGCGCGCTCTCGTGTTTCAGACATGCGCACTTAATTTGTAACAAAAAAATTTGTAATAACGCTTATGTCTCTTATTTTAACACGTAAAATACATATTTAATGTAAATTAGTTAAATTAGCTAAGTTTTAGGTCTGTTTTTTAACATCTGCCCACAGACCCCAGGGGCAAAAGTTCGTATAACATTGTGGAATGGGTAATCTTACGAGATAGATCAATTCGGAGGTCTAGACGTAGGTGCAAAGATAATATTAAAATGAATCTGAGTGGAGGATAGTTGATTGAACAGCTTTAGGTTGGCGGAATTCCTTCATGACAGTGATGAGTTTTTCCGGGATCGGGTGTGACGTCCACTGGACCAAGTTCTGCTCTGCGTTCGCGTTGTCGAAGCAACAAAACCCTGGTTCCTGCGTTTCGCCGTGCGTCTTACTTGTTTGCAGCTGAGCCGGCTACTGGATTATCCGGACCGCGGACCAGACTTCTTCTCTCTATTTATCATCCATAATACCCAGTTGTATAAACAACAGCGAATCGCACTGCAAAATCCACCTTCACGTTTCTGTAACAAAATGGACTGTACGTAAAAATCGTGGTGGTTAGTTCTCAGAACGTAAATTATTTGTCTCTTTGGAGGGTTCGTTATTTGAAATGATAAATGGGCGTCAGTAACACGTGGAGCCGTTCGAAGCACGACTTACAGACTTTGGCCCGGTCGTATCTGAATGAGAGCAGGCGATAAATCTTTATGTACATAATTTTAGAGAATATAAATGCGTCGAACGCGCTGCTGACTGAGGCGCGCCGTGATTTTATCAGTGCGTTCAAGCCAATGCTGTGAATACAGTAAATTCAGTAAATTAACGCACCCACGAACCTTCTCGTTTCAACCCTTTGTAGTCTGCTGACGTCATCACAGGACGAATGTGTAAAAAAGACGTTGTTTACATTTTCTGCTCCGAACGATTTCCACAGCACACGGTCCTGTGTTAGAGCTTGGGATCACGTGTATTATTAGGAATTACGAAACGTGCGTGTTACCAGAAAACTGCCTCGTCGAGGATTTTGCCCCTTAAAAGCCCGATGTCTCTTAACGGAAAATTATCTTCTGCGGTCCATCAATTGCCTGACGTATGGGCGTCTGAACCAGCGTCGAAAAATGAACTGTTCATAATAGTGTTCTCGTGCGGAGCTATTACCAGCCGGAGACACTTATTCTCAGTGGCTTAACGCGGTAAGTACGTACGGCAGTACTTAGCTGCAAACTTCGTCATTCCCGGGGCAAAGCCTTCATCGCCGTCGTTAATAATAATGCCATATCCGAACTTTACATATTTCGTGTAACACCGCCATGGAGCGTGAAACATCGAATTGAGTAGCCAAGTGCTTCAAAAAAAAATGACTTACGTATGTGTCAACTTAATTGGATTTCAAGTGAAAGACTTGCTGTTATAATCGTCATCTCGCACATTGTGGAGAGGTCTCTCTCTCTCTCTTCGCGTACTCCATCTTTCCTATATCCTAGAGTCCCTAGAAAAGCCGTTCTCTCTTGCTAGTGGATGTTATGAACATTTAATTTGGGTTAAATGCTAATAAGAAGGGAGAGCACAGAAATATTAGCGGGAACTCTCGTTACGTCGATAATTAAAGCGAGAACTTGGTAATTATGAAATGTTGAAAGGGAATTCGTACCAGAACGCTGCAGGTTCACGGATCAGGCAGGCTTTTTATGCGAGGTTCCGAAGGATATGTGGTAAAGGACCGCGTGTCCAGTCGTGCAAAAACGTCGACTGGGAACAAAGTTAAATGCTTTTAAGCTAATGCAGTTTCTGTAATATTTGCGCTCGTGATATTTTCTCCGCCCCTCATACCTCGTCTTATGCTAGAAATTTTCATTTGCGTTTTTCAGTTTCATTCATTTTCTGTCGTCTGGGACGTAGACCCGTGTGAAGTGAAGTGAAGTTTCAGAGGCGCTTATTTTTTTTTTTTTTTTACTTCTGGAGGAGAGTGAGTATCACGATTAAAGCGTGCCGTATCGAATTTGGATTACGTACTATTTTTACCAAACGGGGTCTGCAGATTGTACTCAGAATCCGAAGCAATTTAACCTTTGGCAATCGCAGTATTTGCACGTGACTTCGCCGCTCCTCTGAGCCATTAGTCGCGGCTTGTTTAATGGCTGACGCGTGCTCCAGACTGCTAGATGCTGCTTTGCCCGGTTAACCACACAGTTTCTTCATTATCTCAGCCGCGAGATCGAAATCAACGGACAAGGACCGGCCATTTCTCTGGCTCTAGGGAAATCAGCCGTGCTGATACGAATAAAGAAACCGACGTTTCGGAGAAAGCATGTCCCCCTGCCTGTGTTTTGTGGTTTTCCTCAGGACGTCTACGCGTTAAACTAATCCAATAGTCTGTGTAGCTGAAACAGCGTAGTTAAATAACATGAGACGTGGGGGGAACTCAGTAAAGAATTTCGAATTCCACGTTTTGCAGGAACATTTCTGTGTGCGTTTTCCCCTAGCAACCTGAAAGCTGCGTTCGCCGGACCAGGCAAGAGACGCGCGTGACTAAGGCATCTTGGCATCTTGATTCTCACGGCGCCTGCAGATAACTCCCTCGCATTCCTTACCCACCGTTTTAAAGTTGATTTCGCCGTCTGATAACCCTCGAAGCGAACGCTTCAAGCCCCATTGACTCAGGATGGCACAGAATTTTTGTGTTTCCGGAGTGGATTTTCATTTCAGGTCATGGCGTAAGAATGTTCTAACCGTTTCATTTTTCCACATTGGGACTTAAAGCAATTCCCAGGGCAAGAAGACTTTTGTCTGTCTGTCTGTCTGTCTCGTTTTATTTCTCGATTCATGTTGAAGGAAGGCGCCAGGTCGACGGCCGATAAGGCAGCGACGCGCTCGGCCAACTTTATTGCTCGGTTGTAAATTAAACTTCGACGCGTCACAAGGCATGTAACTTGGAGATAACCGGATCCCTTAATTACGTACGTCTCCATTCCGTCTGTCACCCATACGCGTTAATTATGTACGTCTCCATTCGCGCTCTATCAGCCACGTGCGCTGGCAACGACATTAAACACGGCAGCTAACGTAATTGGTTCAAAGCCGCGCTGCGTCGTGACAATGCGTCC